AGGCTCTTATAAGGGAGCAGAATGTCTTTCAACCAATGGGCTGAGACCTGCCCTGTCCAATCTGAACTGCACAGCTATATCCTCATTTGCATCTTTATTGACCAATCAGAGCAGCTCTATAAGGACCAATCAGAACGTGTGATTCTGACCTATCAAGACAGTGTTATTTGGACCAATCAAACTGTGCAAATTTGGATTCCTCACTTTCATAAAAAATGGACCAATCTGGGACCAGCGTGGGGTCTTTCTCTACAAAAAGCTGTCTCCCCATTGTCTCAGAGGTGTACACTCTCAGTTTCCACCATAGCGGTTTCCCTGATTTGCAAACCGTTTAACTGAAGAAAGCTTCTCCTTTTACTCACCCCAGATTGGGGACTCCTGTTGGCATTAGATTGGTGGCAGCAAACTTTTGTTGACACCAAAGAGGAAGCCACATACTACATCACACAGCTGGTTAGCTCCAGAGCAGGGATTCGAACTCAGATCTATCTGCTTCAAAGGCCACCTGGACATGCTGCCTCCCAGGTAAGAGCTGTGGTGCTTCCCAGGATCAGGAGATGTTGCCAGGCCACCAGAAGCAAGTGAGTCCCTGGTTTCTCTTTCAACAACGGTAAAAAGATTTGTGTTTTTTTATTCATGATAAAAAAACTTATAGGAATGCCGAAACCGGTTTGGCTCAGTGGATAGAGCGTCGGCCTGCGGACTCAAGGGTCCCGGGTTCGATTCCGGCCGAGGGCATGTACCTGGGTTGCGGGCACGTCCCCAGTGGGAGATGTGCAGGAGGCAGCTGATCGATGTTTCTCTCTCATCGATGTTTCTGGCTCTGTATCTCTCTCCCTTCCTCTCTGTAAAAAATCAATAAAATATATTTTAAAAAAAAACTTATAGGAATAGTAGTGGGTGATACAGATTCCGGTAAGAACACAAATGTATTATTCCACCTCCATGTAGTAAAAAGTATACTTGTACAGTGTTTTGACTTGTACAGTGTTATACTTGTACAGTGTTTTGAGTATTTTGTGGTATTAAAACAGTGAAGTAAAAAAAATAACAACAAAAAACAAGAGGCAACAGGGGAGTGACAACATCTGGCCTAGATATTAAAAGGTACCTCTGGCAGCTGAGTGGAGAATGGTTTGTAGGGGTCGAGAGACAGTAGGGAAGCCAGTGAGGAGGCCTTGACAAATGAGTGATGCTGGTAACCTGGACCACAGCCATGGCAAGCATCATGGGTGTGAGACCTGTGCAACTGCACAGGGCCCTCACTCAGAAAGGCCCTATACTTGGTTTAATGCTCTGTTGTCACTGTCTTAGAATTCTTAATACTTTTTGAACAAGGGACCCCATACTTCATTTTGCACTGACCCTGACAAATTCCAGAAGGTCGTGATCAAAGCCAAGAAAGGATCTTAAACACTCAAAGTATGACTTTTGTCACTGGTCTGCTGGAGCTGACTTCTACCAGCTTGGAGAGCCAATTGTTCAATTTTGAGGAATTGTGTCATGTTGGTAGCTTGAAATTGGTCATGATGAAAGTATTTACACCATAGAAATCAGCGAACATTACACTAGTCAGGATCTTTAAAAAAAAAAAAAAAAGAAAAGACATTCCTTTTTTAAAAATATATTTTTATTGATTTCAGAGAGGAAGGGAGAAATAGAAACAATCAATGATGAGAATCATTGATCAGCTGCCTCCTACAAACCCCCTTTCATCTCTCTCTAAAATCAATCAAAAATAAAAAAAAATAAAAAAATAAAAAAAAAGCTCCTGTGGACTGAGCCCTGATGAGAAATCGAACCACAACCTTCTGGTTCATAGGTTGAGGCTCAACTATTGAGCTACACTTGCCAGGCTAAAAAAGACATTTCTTCATCAGGGTTTTCCCAGGGTGTGTTCAAGGCCCACCTTAGCAGTGTGCTAAAAATAGTAGTTTCTGGGCAGCCCTCCCCAGGCCTGTTGGGTCACCCTGCAGAGTGTAGAGTGGGGCTCTGGCTGATTCCTGAGCCCCCTGAGGCTACAGGGCCGGGTCAGGAAGGCTGAGGCCCTACACAGTGGGTCCACAAGCTCCACTGGAAATAGGAGCAGAGGAAACCGGTTTTTGGAGTTGGAAAAGGAAATCTGCTTGAGCTGTAGGTGTGGCAGCTCATCAGGAGAGCCGAGGGGCAGCAGTTCCCGACACTGAGGTTCTTGGCCTGGGACCCACCCCTACCCTCCCACATGGAGGCCAAGCCCAAGGGGGAGGCGTCATCCACAGTGCTGCCCTCCTTTGCTGGCAGGGACTTTTAACAGAGACCTGAGATGCACGCAGCGTAATGGCCCCTTGTAGAGTGGGCGCACAGTAAATAACGACTATTACTACTATTATTACGAATGTTGTTGTTATAATGGCCTCGCCTCCTGGCTGGGCTGCCTCCTGGCTGGGTTACACCCTTTCCTCTCGTACCCTGCCCCCCCTTCTCCATCTCCCCCCAAGCTCTGACAGCAGCTGGGACCACCACATATCCATTCCCTACCACTGCTTCACGTTGGGGACCCTGGCAGCCTAGCATCAGAGAACCCCAGCAAGGGGGTAGGTGGAGAGGGTGGGGAGACGGGGGTCGATTCTAAGTAGACACCCTCACTTCCGCTCCACCTCCTCTCGCCCATCCTTCCCGGAGCGCAGACCACCCGGGAAAAGCCACCCTCTCCGGGTTGTTGCGACGAAGCTCAGGGTCTCACTGCTTGGGAGATGGCGCCACCTACAGACTCCTGGGAGCTCTGCGGCTTTGGTCCCTCAAACCAGGGAGGAGGGAGCGGAGAGGACCACCCCCCCACACCGCCCCCACACCCCCACACACACACCCCATCCCCGATACACACACACCCGCCCTCTATGGGCCTGGGCCGGCTCCTGCACTGAACCAAATACAGCATCACACTGTCTCCCGCTGCCCTGGGACCGGGAAGGAACCTTTCCAAAACGTGTTCGGTGGAACCCACACCTTGATCAAGAAGTTTGGAAAATGCCCCTTGGAGATTGTCCGGAGGGCATATCTGCCCCCAAAACCTGGCTTGAATTAACCCTTCAGTTCCCTAACATGAACACTGAGGCCGTGGGAAAGTTACTTCTTGGCCTGTTACCTCATCTGCAGAACGGGGGCGAGGGTGTTGCACTGGAAGAGAGTGTCTCAAAGCTCAGGTGGGAGTCTCAGAATTTAATGAGAAAGAGAGTCACCTGGTAACACGTTTAAAATGCAGTTTCCAGGGCCCAACCTCCCCACAAATTCTGATCCATACAGGAACCTGCAGGCTGAGTTAGTTTCTGAGAGATTCTAATGCAGATGTTCTGCCAACCCCAGCATGAACCAGACTCAAGGCGGCTAGAAAAGCTGGCAGGGGCTTGCCAGATCATAGCAGGAGTGTGGAAGCTGTGACTCTATCCAGAGGGCAGTAGAAGACACAGGAGCTTTATTTATTTATTTAGTATTTTTATTCTTGATTGATTGAAAGGGGGTGGAGAGAGAGAAAAAGAGAGAGAGACATCAATTTGTTCCAGTGACTTATGCAATCATTGGTTATTGTATGTGTCTCATGGGATAGAACCCACAACCTTGGTGCATTGGGACATTCTAACCAACTGAGCTACTGGGACAGGGCATGGAGCTTTTATTTTGTTTTATATAATTTTTTAAATGTTTGTTTATTTCAGAGAGGAAGGAAGAGGGTGAGGTAGAAACATCAATGATGAGAGAGAATCATTGATCAGCTGCCTCCTGCATGCCTCACACTGGGGATCGGGCCCACAACCTGGGAATGTGCCCTGACAGGGAATTGAACCTTGATCTCCTGGATCATAGATCAGTGTTCAACCACTGAGCCACACCGGCCAGGTGAGGGCATGGAGCTTTTGGAAGGTGAGTAACAGCTTCTTTAGAAAGATCACTCTGGCACTGGCTACTATGAAGAAAGGGTTGGTGGGGGTTGGACAAGGTGGTGGCAGAGAGATCAGGGAGGTAACTGCTGAAGTCACCCAGATGAAGAAGTGGTGTCCTGGGCAGGGTGTTGACAGTGGAGGAGAGGGGACAGATTTTAGAGGTAAATTTTTTAAAAATATATTTTATTGATTTTTCACAGAGAGGAGAGGGATAGAGAGTTAGAAACATCGATGAGAGAGAAACATCAATCAGCTGCCTCCTGCACACCTCCTACTGGGGATGTGCCCGCAACCAAGGTACATGCCCTTGGCCGGAATCGAACCCGGGACCTTTCAGTCCGCAGGCCGACGCTCTATCCACTGAGCCAAACCGGTTAGGGCGGTAAATTTTTATATATTTTTTTTTTATTGATTTCAGAGAAGGGAGAGGGAGAGAGAGAAACATCAATGATGAGAATCATTGATCGGCTGCCTCCTGCACGCCCCACACTGGGAAGTGAGCCCCCAACCTGGGCATGTGCCCTGACCGGGAATCAAACTGTGACCTCCTGGTCCATAGCTCCATGCTCAACCACTGAGCCATGCCAGCTGGGCAGAGGTAAATTCTTTAAATCCTTTGGAATATGAGAATCCATTGGAATTTCTGATTACATTTATTGTTTATCCCAGCCTTTTAAAACCTCAAGGGATTGTGTATTATGTACACAATACACTGGTACAGTGGTATATATTTTTTGAGCACATAATATATATATATATATTTGGCCTAGACAATCACTTTTAGAGCCCTGAGTTCGGACTACATTGAGGCCTTCATACTGTGAGGAAGCTCAAGCCATATTGAGAGGCCACATGCTCTGCTGACAGCCCAGGGGAGGTCCCAGCCTACGACTAGCATAATGGTCCCACACACCATAGGACTGAAGAGATCTGATGATTCCAGCTGTTGAAGTCACCACCAGCCTTCAGGTCTTTGCAGGTCTTCCCAGTTATCACAGAACAGAGATAAGTTGTTCCCACTGGCCTTTTCCAAATTTTGGACCACAGAATTGATGAGCATAATGAAATAATTGCTTTTCACAATTGTGTTTCAGGATGGTTTATTATGAAGCAATAGATAAGAGGTACTGTCATCATTATGTACCATAGTGTCTTCCTCCACACTTTCTGTGAAGGAACCAAGTGTCCCCACATAGCTGCCCATACTGAGAGGCAGAGAAGGAAACAGAGGTAGTGTCAGTGAGATGGTCTGGGGAAAAAGAGGTGAGGCCTCACTCAGGGTGGGGAGAGCAAACCAGCCCCAGAGGGATCCCACCTTCAAAGCCCCTTGTGGAAGGAGCTAGGAGTCTAACTCGCCGTATGGTTCTGATCCCACCACTCCATTCCAGATCCTGCTGCCTGTGGCCTTTTACTCTTAGCAGGAAGATTTCCAAGAGAGTTGGCCACCTCTTTGGACCCTAGTATTAGGTCATATTTAGTTGGCACCTTCTAAGGGAGAAAGGGAAGAGACTGTGAACCTGCCCCTCCCCACCACTGTGGCAGAAAAGGTATTCCAGGGCTGGATTTTTGTGGGTCCACTGCTCACCAGCTCTGTGACCTTGGGCAAGTCACTTTATCCCTCTGAGCCCGAGTTTTCTCTGCAGTAAAATCGGGCAATGAGTAGTCCTGCCCTGAAAACAGTTCCTGTGTGGATTAAATAAAATGAAGCAGATTTAAGTGCCCAGTCTTAGTAAATGCTCCCTTAGTTTGTCATTCTTTTGGGACTGTTGCTATATATATTTTTAATTGATTTCAGAGAGAAAGGGAAAGGGAGAGATAGAAACATCAGTGAGAAAGAATCATTGATTGGCTGCCTCCTAGATATGCCACACTGGGTTTTGAGCCTGCAACCGGGTATGTGCCCTAACTAGGAATCCAACTGTGACTTCCTGGTTCATAGGTCTGTCTATGCGCAACCACTGAGTCACACCCAGCCTGGCTGGGACTGTTGCTCATGTTGAAAACCAAAAAGTCCAGACAAGTAATGTCACTGTGAGCAGAACATTTTTGCTTCAGCCCAAGTCACCCTGTGGGAATGTGGGCCCAGTATAGCCACAGCCTCAGGGAAATCTAGCCTGGGACTGGTAGAGTCTGAGCTGCAGGAAACAAGTTCTATGCTTCTATCCCAGCTCCACTTGTCTCCGCTGAGTAAAGCCAGGATGCAGCTTAGCAGGAAGAAAGGAAGCTATTTTTTCTTAAAAAAATTTTTTTTAAAAAAAATTTCAGAGAGAGAAAGGGAAAGGGAGAGAGATAGAAACATCAATGATGAGACAGAATCATCAGTCAGCTTTTTCCTGCACTCCCCCTACTGGGGACCGAACCTGTAATCCAAGCAGGTGCCCTGACCAGGAATCAAAGTGTGATCTCCTGGTTCATGGGTTGATGCTCAACCACTGAGCACACCTGCCAGGCAGAAGGAAACTATTTCTGCAGGGTGGTACCCAGTTCACACAAGAGACCTAGATGGGGGAACAGGGAAGTTGAGTTCCTATCTTAGCTCTGCCCACACTTGCTATAGGATTTGAAACACCTGTTACCTCAGTTTCCCCATCTATAATTCAGTTCATAAATACTTACCAAAAGTATTGACTCTGCGTCATTGTCCAGCTCAGGCCCACAAGGGTGCCCAAAGTGGTCCCCCAGGCCTTTTCACATACCGTTAAAAACTATCCTACTGCCCTGGCCGGTTGCACAGTGGTTAGAGAGCCAACTCAGCACCAAAGGATTGCAGGTTCAATTCCCATTCAAGGGCAAGCACCAGGATTGCAGGTTGGATCCCCGCCCTTTCGGGGCCCTGTGGAAGGCAACCAATCCATGTGTCTCTCTCACATTAATGTTTCTCTCTCTCCCTCCTCCCTCCCTCCTTTCCACTCGCTCTAAAAATCAATGGAAAAAAATATCCTCAGGTGAGGATTAACAAACAAACAAAAAAACTATCCTCCTATCTCTGTCTTTCCTGTCTTTTCCCTTGCTGAGTCCTTAGCACCGCTCAACCTTGGATGGGACGGTGCTTCCTTCCCAAGCCCTTCTGGGTCAGTCACCCCGTTCTCAATGGATTATTCTACATTGATTACCCAGTGTGTGGTGGCAATGGTGATGAAGGGGAAGATGACCAGAGCCTACTTTTCCCACCAAACCATGAGCTTTGTTAGAGCTGGCACAAAGGTGTCCAAAATACAGTTGTTGAATAAATGGCCTTCAGGAGACAAGAAATTCATTTGCTTGATCTTCCTGTCACTTATTAGCAGTGGAATCCAAAGCTTCTCTAAGCTTTGGTTTTCCCATCTAGCAAATGGGGTCCATAATCCCTGTGTTTCCCATCTCTATCTCAGAACTTTCTAAACCATGCTGGGTGACCTTACAAGCTATATGAGGCAGCATAGGGCATTAAATAATGTGCCCAAATTCATGTCTACTTGGAAATAAGGTCTTGGAAATAAGTGTCTTGGAAATAAGGTCTTTGTAGATGTAATTAAGGTGAGGATCAAGGATGAGATCATATTACTTTAGGGTGGGTCCTAACAATGACAAGTGTCCATATAAGAGACAGAAAAGGGAGTCCTATAGTCCCCGTCACTCACACCTGGTTGAGAAGCCCCTGAGGCAGCTGATGAGAAGAGCTTAATGTCCACCTTGCACACCAATGATGCCCAGGGACCACCACCTGCAGGCTGAGGAGGTAAAAGCTGGCAGCAAGCATTGCTACTACATTCTTCTTGAGGTGGAAAGAAACTTTCTGACAATAGCCAGACGCAACCTCCATATAAGTCAGGAAATTTCAAGCCACTGTGGTCAAGTACCAATTCTATGCTTGGCAGCCATGGGAAAAGGAACAGTGAGGGTTGAGGAACAAGGCATGCGCAACTTCACAGATAGGACCCAGCCCCTTTTTTCACAAGTGAGAAAATGAGATCCAAAGGGGGGGCATACTTGCCCCAGGGCACCCAGTGAGTCATGGTAGTGTTTAATTGTGAGCTCTCAATTCTGCCAATCTGCATGCAGAATTAAAGATGAATATGCACAGATCTACTTTTATGAGGGAGAGGGTCCATAGCATTCATCAGATTCTCAAGGGAGTACAAGACTAAAGAAGAGTAGGGAGTGGAAGAGTCCAGGCCAAAGTCAATGGCAAGTCACCGCAGATCTGAGACTACAATTTGTGTCCTAGATTCTCAATCACTGCCCTACACCTGTTCCTCATGGGAAAGGCCATGTTCTTCAATGCACCTGATTGAAGGGCCTAGTTAGTAGAAACACCATGGTTTCCAACGGGTGAAGGCTGTTGTCCTGCTGGCATTGCCTATGGACACTGATAGAGAAGAACTAGGGAAGACTCTAGAGCTACAAAGAAGCAACTCACTCCTAAACTGTTCCCAGAAGGCCCCCACGCAAGGTGAAGGCCACAGATGCATGTCTTTCAGAGCCTAAACACATTTCTAATAAGATACACTCTGCTCTTTGGTTCAAATTGTTGATTTAGGTCATGCTCAAGTCTTCTATATGTTTCCACAGGCTCCATTGGACCATGCTGGCCTGGAAAGGGTCAACTCCCAAAGCAAATGAGAGATTGATTGAACACAACGGCCAAGTATGAAAATTAATTGAGATATTTAATAGACAGTGCAAACCATAATTTCATCTGAATATAAATGTATGCACATGTTTCCAATGAGTTATCTATCAGTTATCACAAACAGCAACAAGGACCTTAGAGCTATGTTAGAAAAACATATAGCTGGAATTTAACTCTAACAATCTCACTTGTTCTCAAGAGAACACCATCCATTTCATATCAGTGTCACAAAGTTCAAAAGACCAGGGAAGTGGAAGTGAGGAGTGGGCTAGGATAGGAAACACAGGGGCCAGTACACAGGTGACGGACAGCAATACAGCTCTTGAGGAAACCAAAATCAGATGCATTATTACCGCTAAGGACAAGGAAAAGCCTATGGTTTTTAAAAAACGACTTTTCTGCCAGTACCATACAAGTCTTACAAAGAGATGTGCGACAAGTCAACTGACTTAAAAAGACAGAGGCTACATTTTCAGATCATTTCAACTGCAAACAGTCGACCCTTTCCATTGAGGTTCAGCAGTGGAGTTAGCATAGTCCAGAAGCTCAATGTTGGATTTGCAAATACAGTTTATTTTACAGAAATTCAACATTATAAACAGCAGGCACCTCCCATCCCACCCGCCCACCCTTAACCCCGCCCACCCCGCTGGGTACAGACCATGCTATGCAGAGTGAGCAGTGATGCAGCCCTACTGCTTTGGAGGGAGATTCGAGAGCGATGGAACCTGCCTGCACCATGTCCTGCCTGCCCTGCACACGCAAATGCCTGCCCATTTGCAGGTCACCAGAGTCTGTCTGGGCCCAGCTTGCAATGGACCAGTTAATTAAAGCTTCCAGCCCAGGTCTCCAATTCCTTCATGTCTTCGTCTTCCTCTTCCTTCTTCTTGGCTGCGACAAGAGAAAAGGTAAATTAGAAGGGCTAGTTGTAGTCCTCTCAACTCATTCTGGCTGGGTGCCAGGACTGTGCCACATGGTGTTTGCAAAAACAGCCCTGCCCTTGCAGCCACCTCATCTCCAGGCTATCAGCAGACTGCCACTCTGTGCCTAAAACTGCAACATAAGACTCCAGATAACCAGGCACACTTTCCCCAACACCTCCCTTCCACCAGCATCAGGGCCAGACAAAACAAGGATTCTACACTAAGAGTCAGGATTCAGGGGAGGCCTCAGTTCCAGAGTATCCAAGGTCAGAAAGAGAAGGAAAAATACCAGAAGAGATCAAATCCTTGCCACTTCCCTTTCCCCCTCAAGTGTCTTGAACCACCTCTCCACACCTGTAGGCAACTTGCTGGACATTTGGACTCCTCTGCCCCTTCTCCGGCCCCACCTGAACAGCTGACTCAACTCGAAGGGCCATCTCCTCCTTGAAACCAGGAGAATGAGGTGACTAGTCACTCTGCTCCCCGGGTACTCTCTACGCCAAATCAAACTGCTTCACCTTTTCTAGTTCTGTGTGGAATACTTCCACCCAAGCGTAAAATAATGGGGAAAGGAAGGGGAAGGAGGAACAGGCAGAAGGAAATGAAAGTCTTATAGAGCCAGGACTTTAAAAAAGCCAAGCTATTTCCTTCCCACAGTGACGGCCTCCGAGGCCCCAGGCTTTTACAGGTGCATACAGCACAGGATTCTAGACAGGGAGCAAGAGCTGTCCTGGAATTAAACTCTCACACCTTCTCCCAGGCCTTATTTGGTGACACAGGGAAAATCATTCTGGGTTCTCAACTGGGGGTGATACCCTCCCACATCCCAAAGGGGACATCTGGCAATATCTGGAGATAATTTTGTTTGTCACAATTTGGGAAGGGGTGCTACTGGCATCTAGTGGATAGAAGAGGCCAGGGATGCTATTCAACATGCACCGTGTGCAGGACAGGCCTCCCACCCAGCCCCAGCCCGAAGGGCAATCTGGCTATGTCAACAGTGCCACGGATAAGAAACCCTGTTCTAGAGAGAACTAGGATAGGACAGTTGTCTCTGGGGCTATCACAACAGATCCCACCTGGTTCTCACTCTGGACCCAAACTGAAACCAAATGACCACGTGGCGTCATGGGTGTGTCAGGACTCTGGATAAGTACTCACTGGGTTTTGATGGTAGAGCTATAGAGGGAACATTTGGTAGAGGGACTGTTTCAGGTCCACTGATTTCCAGCAAATTCTTGTCTAGTTCCTCCTGTTCTAGTTCTTCTAATTCTGCCATGAGTTCATCCTGGTAAAAAGAAACACAAGAATTAGATACCCTTGAGAATCCCAGTCTCCACAGCAGTACCTCTTGCCGATGGCTGAGGGGACCCACACCCCTTCTGAGAAGGTCAGAGAAGAGATGAACTCCAGGTCCACATTCTGTGACTCAATTCGCTTCTATTGGTGAACATAATACACAATCGAGTAAGACTGGTGTCTATGTCTGTGTCTGTGTCCTGCACTAAGCTGTGCGCATCTTGAGAAAAAGGATTGTATCTTTTCATCCTATTTCTTTATCTCAGAACTGGGCGCACTAAGTGAATGTGTAGGAATGTTTGCTGAATTGAAATAAACTTGCCTAGTCTATCAAACTACAGCTGGAAAACATGAAAACCCTAGTAGTGGCAGCCAAGGGTAGGAGCCACAGGCTGTTTAATCA